CAGGGCTTTCAATTGGTACCAAAATCAATTGATTTTATTATATACAATTTCGAATAAAATTCAAAAAACTGACTGCGTAAACTTATTTCTAGGTAGTGTATATCTTAAATCTTTAATAGAATTTTAATAATAAAATTTAAAGCTTAAGAGCTCATTTTGGTATTATGATTATATAGTATAATTTTTTAGCCAAATGAAGTTTATGTATAATATATTGAAATAAAATAAAAATCTTTATTAGATAGTCTCATAATATAATTTTTCTGTAATGAATCCATATGAAAGAAAAACTTTTTGTATATGTAAAACTTAGAGAATGCATTTAAAATCTAAATTTTAAACTTGAAATTAAAATATTATGTGTATTTAAAGAATATGTATATTCTGATTATACAGTTATATTTTTTCTTTATTAATCAAAATACAGTATATATTATTTTCTATTAAATTTAATAAAAATTAAAAAGAAATAATACTTTATTATAAAAAGAAATCTAAGAATTAAAATTAAAAATTAAAAAAAAAAAAATGAATAGTAATATATAAAATAATAAAAAAAAGTAAAAAGAAAAATTTAAAAAAAATTCTATAAAAATAACTAATATGAGAAATTTGCTAGAAAAATGAACTCTAAAAATTTTTTTGACTATAATTAAGACCTTATTACATTTTTAATCTAATAATATTAAAAACTAAAATATAATAAAAAATAAAATATTATTAAAAAAATTTTCAGAATTTCAATTTCCTAGTAAATCTTCTATATATATTATTACAAAAGACTAAAAGATAACCATTAAAAATTTTTACTAATTAATAATACCCTTTAAAATTTCTTTATCATTAATGAGAAATTATCTTTTATCTTTCCTAGTTTTAAGATAATTAATAAATTAATAACATTAAAATTTATATAATATATTAGTTAATAAAAGTAATGATATTTATTAAGTAATTTTTTAGAAAATAGGTATATGAAATTTTTAGATTATATATATTAAAAATATTATATAATATAGTTATATTATATGTAATAAATTAATCACGTGATTATTAATAAATGTAGCTTAGCAAATTTATTAATATGTATTATTTAGATAGAATATGTATATTGTTAATAGAAAAAATTATAGCCTTAAATATCATGTAAGATTTACCAGTCAATGATGATCTCATATTAGATGATGATACTGCTGTGTTCAGGTTGAGAAATTTGTATGTATTAGGCAAATTTTGACCTTATACTTGTACTAAATTTATATTAATTATTATGTATTAAACTGTACTAATCTGTACTAACTGTACCAATTTTCTAATCCTAGCTGCGCTAAATAGTGATTAACAATAATTTCTGTTTCACCTGTTTCTCCTTTTTTTCTATATTTTTTATATAACTTGTTTATTCTATTTATTCTGTTTTACCTGTAAATTTTTTTAATGTCTGTAATTTATTTTACTTCTTTTTATTATTCTTATAATTTATATTATTTGTATTATTTTATTACATTTAAGTATATTTTTATTAGAACATATATTTATATTTAGTTAATTTATAGTGTAACAAGTAATTAACTGTAGCAAATTCATATTTTATAAATAGAATAGTTCTTTGCTTAAATTGTAAATTAACTCATTTGTAAGTTTTATACGAGTTTTAGTATTATAATAAAGAAATCAATTAAAATCTATACAAATTTACTTTCCTTTCAACATTCTTTTTCATCTAAGATTTATTGTAATATACTATATTAACTTGCTATTGAGTTCATCATTATAAATTCGACTAACATATCTTAAATTCTAAGATATGATAAATTATTGAATTAATTCAAGTATAACGAATATCTGTAAGATTTAAAGAAAAACCCTAAGGTCAAAAACTCTAATATATAGAATCAACTGCTGTAGCCTTTTAATTTAAACGTTAAGATAAATAAAATAAATTTAGTAATAATATAATAATATATATTTAAAATATATAAATTTAAATTGCATATATTTAGAGTATATTAATACTTTATAATAGAAAGGGTAGAAATTACCAAAAAAATTTATATTTTGTAAGTTAAATATATTTTTTCATAAAATAAATCCAGATTTATTTTTAATTCAAAAAAAATTTTTTAGTAGTTTCTACTTTTTTTATTGCAAAAAAGCCATATATATATTGATAATCAAAAGAAATACAATAACTCATTTTTAGCTTTAAAAGCTTATAACTTATTAATTACAAATACTAAAAATATAATTTTTGATTTATTTAATCCTTACATTCTATAAAAATTTATTAATCAATTAAATAATGCCAATTTTATATAATGTAAAGATTTACATTAAAATAGTACTTAATGATTTTTAAGCTTAGAAAGCTTTTTTAAATAGACTAGTTATCATAAAACTAATATTAAATTTTAATTCTCTTCTATGTGATGATTTTAATAAGCTAAATTTTGTCTAAATCAAACTATATAATCAGTAGATATGGCAGAAACTGATAAACCTGTCAAATATAATATATATACTAAATATGTCATATTTGTCAAATAAGACATATATATTATTTATATTATTTTTATTATATCTATTATTATTATTATTTATTTTATATTTAATATAATTAATATATCTGTTAGCTCTATTATAATTATTAATAGTATTATTACTATTATAGATTTTCTTTAATTGTAATTTTCTTATATAAAAGATATAAAAATGCTCTGAAAAAATGATGGATCCTAACATTATATTCAATATACATTTAATAATATTAATTTTATTATTATTAACTGAATGAACTCCCTAATTAATATTATATTAAGTTAATTAGATTTAAGTTATAGCTATTATCTTTTTGATTTTAAATTATGATTAACTTATTCGATAGATAGAGTAATATTAATAACACAGTAAAATTAACATTTTATTATATAAAAATAGTTAGACTAATTTTTTATAAGAAACTCTTTTTCCCTTTTCCTAAATTTTTTTGAAAATGAAAAATTCACTTAGAAAATAAAAACGGTTTTATTAGATAATTCATAGTTTTATATATTTTTATTATTTAAAAAATTTTTTAATAAATTTTTAATACAAAAATTATTTAAAAAAAATAAACAAATCACTAAAAAAAAAAAAATAATAATAATCATTTTGATTCTTATAATAGTTAACTTGTCTCTATCACCTTTAGAGTAGATGATCAAAAGTATCTGTCATTTTGAAAGTCATGTGACTGATCAGCAAATATCAGCTCTAAGAAAAAAATTTTTTCTTATTAATTAATTTAATTTTGATACTTTAAATAAAGTTATGCATCATAATGAATAACATTTATTCTAATATTTTTAATATAGATTTGACTTATATTTAGTTAAATATTTTAGAATTTATTTCAAAAATTTAATTCGTAGTTTGTGTAATAAGTAGAAATCTGCAATTAGTAAAATTTGGTAAAGATCAACTATATAATCATATAAATTGAAAATTTTCTGAAAGATCTACACAGTATTTTTACATTTAAAATATAAAAAAAAATTTCGGAAATTAATAGCCAATTAATATAAATCTTTATTTGTAAAAAAAATTTTTAACGTAATTCATTTTTTAAGAGCTTTTATGTACAAAACATGTGAATTTCAGTGCGAAATTTATTATAACCGAATATATGATTTCTAAATAATACCTACTTGAGCTTGAGATTTTATTATTAGAAATTACCGCTGGTAGTTAATGCTTTTTTTGCTGCTTCCATCTTTATATGCGTTGAATATCTTGAGATCCACCCTCTAATTGTATCAACTTTCTGTGATATTTTTTCTTTTGCCAAATGTCTCATTTCTGCAGCCATATGTAATTCTCTCATCATATCTTTAGCTGATAAATATGACTTACCAGGTGTATTTCAGCTATAAAAATAACCTTTCAATAACTCAACAACTTTCTTTGGAATTCTTTTACCACCACCTTTTTTACCAAACTTTTATTTTTTATGTAATGCCTAACCACTTTCTAATCAGAACATACAATTTTTGTTAAAAAAGGTAATTATTTGTTTCATTAATTTAAAATCAAACAAAATATATTACTTATTGGTTAAAAAACTCAATCCTAACCTACTACCTTCATTTAGCTACTGCGAAATCATATCTATTACTTCAAAAGGAAGTTTGTATTACTGGATAGCATCTGTATTATCTGTAAAAATTGTTAATAATTTATTTCAAAAAAAATTTGGTATGTGAAACTTTTTTTAAAAACTTACTTTATTTAGTTTGAGTTTTCAATGTTTCATTTAAAAGATTAACTAATTGTGCATGTATTGATTTTGGATCAAAATTTACTTTATATCTATTTAGTTCGTTATGAAGTTGAGTAATACGTAATCAATTAGGTTTGATACCTATAAATAATATTTATTATTAGTATATCTGTTTTTTGATTAATATAATAATATTTTAATAAT